GATTAGAATTATTTCTTGTTAGAAATTACAAAATATAACGATATAACTGATGAATTTCCGCGTAAAATCAGATAAATTAACGATGACTGAACGATCCATTCAATCGGTGAATGAAATATGAATCACTTGACAAAGAAGAGCGATAAATTCGTTCACCGTTCGCTGGCAAATATTAATTAAAATGATTCTTAGAGAATTTTGAACGTAATATTAGATCTTAACGAGCAAAATAAATGCAAATAATGACATAATATGATAAATTAAAGTGATAATCTAATCTAGATAAATAAAGCGTTTTAATTTCTCTGTATATTTATTTATTTTATTTATGTTATTGTTTTCATATATACATGTTTTTGATATAAACAAAAGAAGGCCATACCATCTTTTGTTTAAGTAACCACTTAAAATATGAACTTAGTCAATCGCTAGTTATCATTTAAGATATATTCTCAAGGCTACATAATAGACACTAAGTAAAATGACTTTATTTTACATGTTTCTACAAAAGAAAATACAAAGCGAATCCAGACTTTTCATGGGATTTCTGTTTTATTAACGAGTGTAGACAGACTGATGATATTGATAGAGAATTTGTATATATTACTAGCTTTCGCCCGCGACTCCGTCTGCGTGGAATTTAGAAAAAACAAAACTGAGTAGCATATGTCTTCTTCCAGACTATCCTCTATGTTTATGCCAAATTTTATCGAAATCCGTTCAACCGTGTAGGCTGCAAAATCTAACAAACATCCATCCATCTAAACATTCGCATTTATAATATTAGTATGATCTATCTATACATTTAATAAAACTGGACTGTCTGTTTGTAATATCAAAAGAAACAATTCCATATTTCGGGAAGAAGGTGTATTTGCGTTGCTGATAATGTTAGTAGTAGTAGTAGTAGGGGCTACGGTTTCCGCAACTCCACGACTAGCGCGTATTTTGCGTTGATAATGTTAATCGCGTTTAATTTTTGTTGCCTGTCTGTCCGAAAGTCGCGTTTGTTCCGGGTAATCTCCGATTCCGACATGACTTTACTGAACAGTAGCTGACATAAACAGGCATATTATAGGCTATATTTATCTTAATTTGTGGACAACAGCTAGTGTAACAATAGTATGTTTAAAACAAAAAAATATAGAATGACAAGAAAATATGAAATTTAAAACATTTACAAAGTTGTGAAAATATTTTTCATTAAAGAATTTCATCCGAGGTGCTTATAATAATAGTGCTCGTCTCGAGTCAATAAAAAGTTAATTAAGACACTACTTGAGTGTAGCGTCGAGTAAAAAGAGCTAACAAAACTGTCTCCCAGTTAGTCTTTTTCGTTTGACGTCGACTTCATCAACGCGAGTGGCTCGAGTTTAGACTGTTTGTCTACTGGATATATTTCTTTGTTATTACGTTTAATGTTGAACATTTTAAAACACTTTTTATAATGAAGGATGAATTGAATAAACAAGACATTTTGTTATTTTTCCATTTACAGTATGTTATTTAGATCTAAGATATATAATACCGTTTTTTTTGGCAGCCAAATAGCAATCTAAGAGTGGTAGAGCCCGATTTAACATCTTAGCACGAATGGGCCGGCTCGCCCGGTGTAATACCACGACCACACAGAAGACAGGCGTGAAATGGAAGCAATTCCGTGTTTCGTCTGATGAGTGTGGTGCCGGATGTCTAATTTAAGTCCATTTCTCTTTACCACCCTTTTTTTAAAAGGAGAGGATGGGAAGGGGAAGTGGATTTGACGGTGAAGGAGATGCATAGAAAGGGGAAATATCCTCTTTATGTGCGTCTCCTCCTCCATCGAATAAGGGTAGGCAACGCATCTGCAATTGTGGATATCTATAGACAGCGATTGCTTCGCTATTTTGGCGTATTCATGTGGCCGCTTGCTCGTTTGCTACCTTATGTTATAAAAAAAACAATCGATTCCTAAAGGTGTGATTTCGTAAAATCATTATCATCATCATCATCATCTCCTCATCCTGCTCCTGTAAGGTCGGCACAACAGGTTTTTGTCCTCCACATGACTCTAGCATACGTCATCTCAGTCACACTCTTTTTGATTATATCACCTTTCACAATATAATAGTAAAAATATATGCTGTTTGTTGGACCAGAAGTGATAAAGTAACTTAAAACATACAGTCTCAAAGCGTGTACAAAGGTAATATGGTACTTGAAAGTTTCTCATTATATGAAGGTCAAAAGGTCGAAAACGTAACGATGTCCAAGTCGACCGACAAGTGAACATTTGTAGCGAATTTGCCATAATAAGTTTGTGGATTATTTTATGTACCGTAAAAAGAAACGACCTTATCTAGTAAAAATTAAATGACGCATTTTTTCATTCTATTAAATGTCTTATAATTGCGACAATATATTTTATTATCCCTTTTTTATTACTATTTTTTTTTATATTGAGTCAATAAAAATAAAAAATATGTTTCTTTGTCTATTTCTTACTCCGTTAGAACAAACAATGAAAACTATTAATGAAACAATTGAATAAATAACTTCGAAGTTCATTGGAAATTTGACGAAAATTCTTGGAATTTTATAGTACAGAGAACAAAACATTCATGCCAGTTATGTCGAAACAATTTAAGGAATTAACATCTTTAACACTATTGCAATACGGTACTTATTAGAATAGAAGTGTGCTATTTGGACATGTTAAAGAACTTTGACTACAGAGAAAGGACTAGGCCGCGTACGACGCTACTGCGGCCGCGCAATGAAATAAAATGAATTATAGTACTCGAATGTACGTAATATCGTGCTATAATCTATAACTATTACGATTTCATGTACACATATTGAATTAAAATATTTCACAAATAGACAAAACAAACATGTGTAGAACTTGTATGTTTTTTATGTAAGAGATGGATATGCGCGTTTAACAGGTCCTGTCATTCAAAGTCAAATTTAAGGAACGATAGTACAAACGTCTGCTCCTTCATTCAGCTGTATTTGTAACAAATTGCATCCGTGGTTACATTTTATGGCTCCGGGGTTCCCACTCGACTTCGATATCGAATGAATTATGAATGAACGAATGATTAATGTGTATGAATGAACGAATAATCGCTCTGATATCCAATGAATTACGTTGACTTTGTTGGTTATTGGTGAATGTAGAGAACATTTATTGTCAAGTGAACGATCTTGAGATCTCTTAAGAACGAATGGATAATTTTGTCTGTAGTTTTAATTCCATTTTTGATTCGTTTCAAAATGAGTTTTTGAGTATATAAATACTAGGAAAAGCTAATTAGAATTTTAAATGAAACTCATAATCTCATATGGCCTGCGGATGGTGTACAAAAGCAAATTTTTCATACATGAAATACTAAAAAAGTACTTTTTAATATATTTTATTGCTAAAATATGAGACTCGAATAAAATTTGTTTGTAATTTATTTTTAACTAGCTGTCGCACGCGACTTCGATCGCGGATAATAAAAAACTTGATAATTTCCCTATGTGTTCTTCCTGATTATGTCCTATACATCTGTGCCAAATTTGACCAAATTGCGTTAATTCGTTATTCAGATATGTAGTAACTAACATCTATCGATCCAAAGTCACTCATATGTAATACTAGCTGTTCCCGTGCGGACTTCATCCGCATGAAATTATGAAAATTTTATTTTATTGTTTACATCTGACATGATGACAACCTTGCTTCCTTGTTGTCGGCAGCAACTTATGGTCTCTTTCCCACGTTAGGGTTTTTATGCAAAATATTTACCCCTTAAGTTTAATGGCATTAAAATATATATCCTAAAACGTGACGCAAGTGTAGGGCTTTCCATTAAAAAAAGAATTATTCAAAAATGTGCTGTAATTGCTGACATCTTAGGCAACAAAGAAGTGTGTGTTTACGCTTTATTATAATAGTATAGATAAGAAGTATGATTGTATCCGTTAGTAAGATAAATTAAAATGCTTTAGAGACTGTAAAGGTTTAAGTTTTGAATAAGCAACAAGATAGCTTAGCAATAACTTAGTTCACGGCTGAATGATCAATTTACTTATCGCTGAACGAACCGCTGATGCACCGTGAAAGAATTAATTAATACAAAAAGTAAAAAAAAACTTAAAATAAACTTACTACGAATAGAATAATAATATGATACTTTAAAAGAAAGGTATATCCTAATTAAATTTTTAACGGCTTACTCACGTCATACTTTTTTCCGGTGAAGGCACCGACCAGTTTCAGACCCTGCGGGGGTCCTTCAGGGCGAGGGTTAAAGATGTATCGCGGTCAACATCTTAATTATAAAATGTAATTCAGTAAGCCGTAAAATAATTCATTATAAAATGTCTCATGAAAGGTATATCCTTATTTATGTATTAGTTTTCGCTCGCGACTCCGTCCGCGTGGAATAAAAAAAACAAAAGTGAGTAGCACATATGTTCTTTCCGACTATCCTCTGGATCTATACCAAATTTCATAGAAATCCGTTCAACCGTTTAGGCTACAAACTCTAACAAACATCCATCCATCTAAACTTTCGCATTTACAATATTAGTATGAAGTATGTGTTAAGGTAATTAAATCATACTAATATTATAAATACGAAAGCTTAGATGGATGTTTGCTAGTGTTTGTAGTCTAAGCGGCTGAATGGATCTCGATGAAATTTGGTACAGATGTAGAACATAGTCTGGAAGAACACATATTTTCTTTTGTTGCACTATTACTTGGTTCTTTATTTTAATTTCCAACAAAGTTGCCTGGAGCAATCTATACTAATATTATAAAGAGGAAAGAATTGTATTTTTGTATGTATTGAAATAACTCAAAAACTACTGGGGTGATTACAAAAACTCTTTCACCATTAAAAAGCGTTGCGTTTTTGTTTTCAATTTCACGCGATCGAAGTCGCGAGCAACAACTAGTTTACTATAAATTATAATGTAAGTGAAATCTACAACGGTGTGAACAGATCAAATTAGCTCAGATATAGTCGACTTTGTTCCAGTGTCGACGGTGGATGTGCAGGCAGTGGTCGGCCGCACCGCGCACCTACCCTGCGACATCGAGCCGGACACTAACGAAGATAGGGTCTACATGGTGCTGTGGTTCCGGCATGCGGGCGGCAAGCCTTTGTATAGGTAAGTTAAGGCTTTAGCATGTGACGACTGACTACACGTCCGTGTGGAATTAAAAAAAAATAATATGTTCTTCTTGAAAATCCTCTACGTCTGGCAATTAACAAGATTCGTTCAACAGTTTAGGCTACAAACTCTAACAAACATCCGTCCATCTAAATATTATTTTTATTATGACGTAATAATGTATGAGTCGAAGAACGGTTGCATGCTTTAAAAAGCATGACTTATTTTCGCGTTCCGTCAGCTGTGCGTGTAAGCGAGAGGGCAATAAGCGACGGAGATAGAAGACCAAGAGAGGCGTTAGACTTGTAACGTCATCATAAAAAATATTGCCAATGAATTTACTTATAGAATTTGTTTTATATATTCGTAAACATACTTAAGTATTATTTATTCTAGCAAGTTCTACGAAGAAAAAATACTAAAGACTGTACAATTTCAGTCTAAGACAATCTAATATTCAAAAACAATTCAGAGTCCACTAACTAATTATTCAACTTGATTTTATTATTTCTAAAAACGTAAGCAAAAACAACCGTTTTTGTAATTAATGCTAATGAGTGAGAAAATTCTCTCAAATTATATTTTGGAGAAAAGTTGAGAGATAAAAAATAATCACTTTTTTAATCGCTAGAAATTAATTTTAACGTTGAATCAAAATAAATTTAGTACTTACTGTCTATGTTTGTTTATACAGAAACTTCCAGACTATTGCAATACATTTACTACAAAACTCGGAGTCCTTAATTAGTCATTTAGTGTAGATTTAATATAAATATGAATTAGACAAATGACAGACAGACATGCTTACGTTTATAGATACGTCAAATGGTAAAAAACCTAATTATAAAACAATTATCCACTAATCTACACAAACCAACCATAATAACACCCCGTAGACAAAAAAAAAACATGTTAAACACATATCGGAAACTGCCGTGAGCGAGGCGACATGCCTCGTTAGTGACGCGGCTAACGAAGCGAACAGCACGGATTAACACGATACGAGACGACACGACACGAAGTGATTGACAAACTGCATCGACCAACGCGTCATTATTACACGAATACGGCCCTGTATTATCCTAACGATATCCTGACGTTTGACCGGACAGAAGAATTATTACTGTGAATGCTTTAATGAAAAGAAAATTCACAACTATATAGATTATAACTGGTAAAATATTGTTTTGTTTTATACTAACATTATAAAGAGGAAAGATTTGTATTTTTGTATGTATTTGAATTACTCAAAAACAACGACCGATTTCAAAAATTCTTTCGCCATTCAAAAGCTACGTTATCGCTGAGTAACATAGGCTATATTTTGCACTATTCTTTAATTTCACGAGGACAAAGTCGCAAGCAACAACTAGTGTTCAAGAAGCGAGCCTACAATTTCCTCAAACGGCAACGCATCTGTAGTTCCTCCGGTGTTGCTGATGTCTGGGCATCGTTGACCATCTCTGTGTTCTCGCCGCTCGTTTGCCCCCTTCTCTTATATAAAAAAATGTGATTTAATGCGCTGGAACGCACCAAGAAGTATCACTTGAGATTAAGAAATAATTAACAGTAGTTGTAGTTAAAAATGTACTACATCAAACAAAATGTCGTGTAAAATATAAATAATAACACTTGAAAAGCTTCAATGCTTTTTTTCTTATCTTATTTCTTTGAATAAAAAGCTTTACTTTTTAGTACAATTTTTATTTCACTTAGCTCAGCACACACCCACTTAGCTTATCATTGTATGATTATTTTTATATTTTAAAGTGACCCGACACCTAAGTTATTACTCAAAGTGAGACCTTCAAAGTGAAATGACTTCATTAAAATTTAACTTAACGATACAAAAGCAATAACAGTAAAACACATATTTATGGATAATAAACCCGGTACCCACTTGTAAGGCTATAAATCTGACCATTATTGAATAATATAGAAACAGGTTAAGGAGAACCTCAGAAACTGTTTAGTAGTAATTAAACTTGAATCTATTAAATTTAAAGCCTTCTTTTCTTTTCACGTAATTAATTTTGTTCGAACTATACTAGCTGTTCCCGTGCGTCTTCATCCGCATAAAATTATGATAATTTTATTTTATTCTTTACATGTGTCAAATTATCAATTACAAATGTCAAAATGATATGACATGATGACAAACCTGGGTAATCTTACTGCCATGATGTTGGCAGCAACTTATGGTCTCTTTCCCACATTAGGGTTTTTATCCAAAATATTAACCCCCTATATTTAATTGCGTGAAAACATATAGCCTAAAAGCGTGACACAAGTGTAGGGCTTTTTATTATAAAAAGAATTATTCAAAAATATGCTGTAATATCTGACATCTTAGGCAACAAAGAAGTGTGTGTTTACGCTCTATTATAATAGTATAGATAAAATACGTACTCTTAGAGCGCGTACACATCTTTGGCTAAACTATCGCACGTGTTTAGTCGCGCTTTTATTCCTGTGAGCTTATATGGAGGTACGCAAAAATTTGTTTTTTAGTTGGATTAGCTGAGAAACAATCGACAATCGCACAACTTTTGTGATATAGTTTAATCAAAGATGTACGCCCGATCTAACATGAAAGAGCGTCAGTGGCTCAGGAGTTAAGCACTTGACTTGTAATCTACGGTCTTGGGTTTGAATCCCACCATGTCAACGTGTTTTTCAATTGACATTGGCTGCCTCGTCATATTGCGAGTGAAGTTGCTACAATACAGGGTGTATCAGGAAATTCAAGCTATGCATACAATCTATTTTTATAACAATTGCTGTACATTTTCGTTAGAAACGTTTTCACGAATATTCATGATAGGCACTATGGACGGCAATGTAAGTATAATATGCATGTTTCTAAAAGATTACTTGAAAAAATATCGCATTTATCACTACTGCTTTACTGTGCATAGTAATTTATATGAAAAATGCACAATTTAAAATGCTTTCAACACACGTCAATATGAATCTAAAGTTCCGTAAAATCTGAAGTTTTCATATCAATGTCATTTCGAAATCCGTGGCATCGTTTGCACATTTTTATATGAAAATGTGTCAACGAGATTTTATGTTTGCGTTTACTGGATTGAGAGAACTTGACGCATCTCTGCCGTGTATTGCGACTTTAACGATCATTTTTATGGGTAGTTGATACGTATTTAAACGGTAAAATGTTTTAGTTATTTAAAATTGACAGCGCGTTTAACAGCGTGTTCTAAGCGGTTTTAAAATGTGTTCTGTTAATGGCTGAATGTATACTGCTTTTTTTTACAAACTTGTAAAATTTTCTGTTCTAATTTTAAAGTAAAAGTATGGATAGATTTCTAATCTTTAGAATTTTGGGATAGAGATCTGGAGGGCGAGCGAGAAAATCGAACGTAAAGTACACCAATATATCTCATACAAGTATAGTCGACAATGAATACTTTTTCGCAAATTTTCGTGGTAGGTGCCCAGCTTATTTTACTATACGAAATTAACTACTTTTTTGTTAAATATAAGGTGGCAAACGAGCAAGCGGCCACTTGAATCTGATAAAACGGCAAAGCGAAGGCTGCCCATAGACATCAGCAATTGCAAATGCGTTGCCTACCCTTATCCCACAGAGGAGGAGACGCACATAAAGAGGATATTTTCCCCTCCTATGCATCCCCTCCACTGTCAAATCCACTTCCCCTCCTCATCCTCTCCTCATGAGAAAAGAGTGGTAAAGAGAAAGGGACTTAAATTAGGCCTCCGGCACCACACTCATCGGACGAAACACGGAATTGCTTCCATTTCACGCCTGTCTTCTGTGTGGTCGTGGTATTACACCGGGCGTGCCGGCCCTGCAGTGCTAAGATGTTAAAGCGGGCACTACCACTGTACTGCTAGATGCGTAGTTTTTGCAACTATTTTGTACATTACAGTAGGCTTACACTGTTTCGCGCTTATTTAAAATATTCTTATCAATAATAATATGATAAAACCGAGACAGCAGTAAGTTTTAATACTAATGTTACGGCAGTGAAAACAGTTATGATTAATGAAAAAAGTCCGTTTGATTACTAAGAAGTCATTACCTCAGTCCAATTAAGGTCTGTTAAAATCTCGGGTCTATCTTGAGTACCTTTTGACCTCATTACTGTACCTATTTTTAATTCCTACAACGGCGATTATTCACGAACAATTAAAATAAAATAATTTGAAGTGAAATTCGAGATTTGAAGGAAACTCTATTATAATTAAAACAGTCTAGAAAATAATGTACTAAAATCTAATGAAAACTACATTTCTAATTTAATAAATTATTTTGATCATACCATACTAATAAATGCGAATGTTAGATGGATGGATGTTTGTTAGAGTTTGTAGCCTAAACGACAGAACGGATTCCGATTAAATTTGGTATAGATGTAGGGTATAGTTGGAGCGTCGGTGGCTCAGTGGTTTAAGCACTTGACTTATAATCTACAGGTCTTGGGTTCGAATCCCGCCATGTACCAATGTGATTTTCGAATTTATATATGTACATAATTTACACGACGTTCTTACGGTGAAGAAAAACATCGTGATGCAACCTGCACATATTGGCGAAGAAATTCAAAGATATGTGTGAAGTCAACCAACCCGCAGTTGGCCAGTGTGGTTGACTATGGCCTAGTCACCCCTTATTAGGGTAGGCTCCGAGCCCCTCAGTGGGGACATGTAGAGAGCTGGTGATGGTAGAGTATAGTTTGGAAGAACACATAGGGTACTCAACTTTGTTGTTTTTATTTCCACGCGGATGGACTCTCGGGTGATAGCTAGATTAAATGTAAATAAAAATTCAACGAATTCACCTTAACTTAGAAACTCCGGACTGCCAAAATTAACGGAGATATATTTCAGTAAATTACAGCTTTAACGCTATTAATTTGCGCTGTTAACGGTAACTGTTTCATTCTTTGTCAAGTCTTTTAGTTCTGTTGTATTAATTCGATTGTTTACGCCCTAGTACTCCTTTGTGCAGC